CCCTTTCAAAAGTGACTTAGGCATATAGAAGCCAAGGAATAACATTTTCAAAAGCAGCTAAATGATGTAGGAGCCTAAATGCCATTTTCAGAAGTGACTTAGGCAGCAAGAGGGAGAAGTCTGCATGGTTCTTAGGCTCCTACGTTATTGAAGAAAATGGGATTTAAGTCCCTAAGTCACTTAGGCACTTTTGAAAATGTTATTCCTTGGCTTCTATATGCCTAAGTCACTTTTGAAAGGGGTATCATAACAGTCGGCTATCTCCCAGGGTGTTATGAAGACAAATTCATTAATGCTTGCAGTGCCGTCTGATATGACGCTGACGAGCATCATGAAGAAATTAATCATTCTATATTCAGTGCAGTGTTTGTATGGTACGTATAGTGAGTAAGGCCCTGGGTCACAGGTTGAATGATGAGGATAAAAAGAAATATTCTACAGCTCCTTCAGGCCCTGATCACCATCCCCCCAGTGCACTGAAGGAGGCAGGAGCTGGTGGGATGGAGGGGAATAATAGGAAATGTACATGCAATTAGACTGTGTCATAATGGATATGCACAAGGGAGGGCAGGGGGGGCTCAATTAACATTGCATGGGTAACTTTAACTCTGATATTTCCTAATTCTTGTGCATTTGGCTTTGACTAATAACACTGTTTAATTTTGTAATGTTTTTAAGTAAGGTAAATATTGGAGCTGGTCAACAACCCAACATTTTTCCTGTTAAGTATGATAATGCAGTATTTCAACTTTTAAACACATCCAAGAGACTGGGATGTGGAAATGGAATGAGAATTTTTGTTTAGATTCTAACTAAAATGTTGATTCATTTTAACTTTTTGAAAATGAAAAATTCAATTTTCCTTTTCATATTTGGGTTTACAAGTTTTCCCCCTTTCTCCCCGTTTCTATTTTTTCATCTTTTCTTCCACTGTAAAAAGTTAGAAAAAAATTAAAAAGTGTAAGAAAGTAGGGGGGAAATCTTTTTGATTTTTTTTTCAACTGGAAAAGTGTGAAAAAAGTTAGAAAACACCAAAGTGAGATAAAGTGTTACTTTCTCTGTGGCATGCTACCAAAAATATCCTCAGGGACTCAAGTGAGAGAAGAGAAATGTTTATTTTCAGCAGTTTATAATTCAGCCAAACCTGGAAGGGATTTCCCTGCACTGGGGCAGGCACCTCCCTGACACCAGCATTACTCCTTCCCAAATTACAAAAGCCTGCTGCAAACAATGACGGCATAAAATCTTCTCAAGAAGGTGTAGAGAATATTTTATAATAGAAAGTGTGAAGCAACCTCCATATTGGGAATTGCTACTAGCGCCCCCTCTAATTACTATAGCAGTGATTTGGAGAAGGATGAGGACAGTAAATTGGTGACATTTATGAAACCCAAAGGACAAAGTGCTGCCCCTGCTCCACTGCCCTGCGTAAGGACAGAGTTGCTGATGTTTTTACTGGAGAATCCAGGGCATTCCCGGGTCATCACTATTCTTTTTGTGATAATATTTACTTTAATTTTATCTTTAATACATTTATTATTATTATATGTGTTTTAGGATCTAGCTCCCCCTCCCCTTGCTGTGCCCTGAGGTTCCCCTGCTCTGGGGTCAGTGTCACATACTGAGGAGCAGGTGTCCTTAATCCAGCATTACACTTACCTGAGCAAACCACACTGGCATCATTATCATGGGAGCACTGAGAGGCCCCCAGGGCAGTAACAGGGCAATGGCCCAAATGGGGTTCAGTCCCTTTACAGTGATATGTGTCTGTCCAGACAGAGCCAGTTCCCCTCCCAAAATACGCTTCTCCTGGGGCTGATACAGCGAATCCACAGTCGAGCTGATGACAGAGAACGTTGGCATCTGGTAAATCCCAGCGTGAGTCACAGAGGGTTCCCCAGGCACCACGAACCTGGATCTCCACCCTCCCTGAGCACTCTGAGCTGCCGTTCATGAGCCGGAGCCCTGTGTGCCCTGAGGAGAAGGGAGAAGGGGTTTAGAGAGGGAGCCTTGGAGCTATTTTATACCTAATAGTTAAAGAAAGGAAAGTCAGGGGGGATTTGATCCAATTCTAGTTATCTTGGATCTTTTGCATTTCATGAGAAGCTGGTGCCATCCTATTACCCTAGCTCTCTACACAGTGAAATCAGTATATTGCATCACCCTAATCTAAAATTCACATCACTGGGATTTTAAAGATTTCGCACTGAATTCTTACCTGAGCATATGGCTCCAGCATCATTTGCGTGTGAGCATGTCTGACTGACGTTCAATATCCTGGGACAATACGCATGGTGGGACTCATTTCCCACACACTGGAACACTTCAGTCCACATTGGTCCATGTCCTTCTCCAAAGTGAGCTCCTCCTGGGATAGACAGAGCTGTTCCACATTGTAGTTCATTACAGATAACGTTGGCAGCTTTGAGATCAAAGTGGGCATCACAGACTGTGGTCCATGTTTCCCCATCTCTTATTTCGACACGTCCGGAACAGGCACTATGCCCTCCAACCAGCCAGGGCTTAATGTGTCCTAGAAATTCAATGGAGCAGGAATTTACAAAGGGGCCTCAGGGAGTTAGATGATTGATGGCCATAAAATATTGGCTGAATGCCAATCATGGTTCAGTGGCAAAGTGCAGGCAGCAATTAGAAATAAAAACAAAATATATAACAAATGGAAAACAGTAGTATTACATAACAATCAATATACATTAGATGTTATGATGTGTAGAAAATTGATAAGGGAAGCTAATTATATTAGGGGGAAAATCATGGCTTGCCGCGCTAAGGAGACTCACATAGCATTTTTTAAGTATACTGGGAACAAACAAAAAATACTAACAGTGGTGGTGTTCCACTGCAAATCAAGATGGTAAAATTGTTAACAATGATGCAGAAAAGGCAGAAGTATTTAATAAACATTTCTGATTTTGGATAGAAACAGGATGTATCATATTATGGGAAAAGGATGAACTATTCTTCAGTCCATTGGTAACTCAGGAGGAAGTTAAACAGCCTTTACTATTTTTATATCAGCAGGCTTGAATAGCTGATAAAACCATAGAATAAAATAAATGTAGGGTTGGAAGGAACCTCAAGAGGTCATCTAGTCCATCTCCTCACACCAAGAGAGGTGTAAGTATACCTAGGCCACACTGACAGATGTTTGTCTAACTTGTTGTGTAAAGTCACAAATGATGGGGATTACAACAACCTCTCTACGTACCCTGTTCCAGTACTTAATTAACCCTATAGTTAGAAAGTTTTTTTTCTAATATCTAATCTGAATCTCATTTGCTGCAATCTAAGATGATTGCGTAGTCCTACCCTCGGTGGATATGGACAACAATTGAGAAACAATCCTTTATCAGTTCACCCCTCAGTCTTCTCGTCTCTATACTTAAAATGTCCAATTCTTTCAACATTTCTTCATAGATCATTTTTTCTAAATCTCTTACTCTGTTTGTTGCTCTCCTCTGGACACTCTCCAATTTGTCCTTATTTTTCTTAAAAAATGATGAGCAAAACTGGACACAGTACTCCAGCTGAGGCCACACCAGACCTAAGTAGAGTGGAACAATTACCTCCTGTGTCTTACATATGACATTCTTGTTAATACAATTCAGAATGACATTTCCCTTTTTCACAACAGCATCACAACTTTTTAGATTGTGATCCACTATAACCCCGAGATCATTTTCTGCAGTTATTCCCCATTTTGGGGTTTTTGCATTTGATTTTTCCTTCCTAACTCTAATGCTTTGCACTTGTCTTTACTGATTTTCAATTTACTGATCTCAGACCAATTCTCCAGTTTATCAAGATCATTTTGAATTTTAACCCTGCCTTCCAAAGAGCTTGTGACCCCTCTCAGCTTCATGTCATCCACAAATTGTGTACGTGTATCTCTACTCCATCACCCAAATCATTTACGGAAATATTGAATAGTACCAGACCCAGGACAGTGTTATATTGTATTTATCCATAGGAACACAGCAATCACAGAGAAAAGAATAAAGCAAGTGAAGGCCTACAGGCCTATGTCTCACCTAAAGCTCAGCTTTTCCCTCATAACCTGGGCTGACTCAGCTTATCCCAGGAACCCCTGCTTCTGGGGACTGTGTTTCAGTCTCCTTCCCTGCAGACCCTGCCTCACCCCCTCTGTTCATCAGGGCTCCCCTGTTAACAATTCCCAAGCTCTCAGTTTAAGATTTCCCACCTCAGGGGCCCATCCCAAGGAAGGGGGCTTGTGCTCAGCTTGGCCAGATGCAAAAGTTCAAAATCCCTGACACCTGTATTGTCAGTTAAGTACCAGTAACTGGGTTCTATGAAATCATTGTCTGCCATCCTGGGACATGTGGGGAGCTCAGACAGGGGTTACCCTTTGAACCCTGGTAGCAACTGTGAAAATAGCAATAAAAGGAACTGAGGTACACATAATATGTTCTTTGCAGGGGTAATAGTGGACAAAGAACTGAACGTGAGCGCCCAGTGTGATGCTGCTGCAAAAACGGCTAAGGTGACCCTTTTATGTATAAACAGGGGAGCAATGAGTACTGCTGGATGAAATGCAGGACTTCCAGTGTACAGGAAATATCACTATTTTAAAATTCCCTGCGAATTGGAAATCCAGCTAAAATTTTGTTTTGGAAACTCCAGCCCATGGTGTATCCAACATGAAATTTGCTCCCAGGAGCCCCAACAGATGCGGAGTGACACTGACATTCTTGTCAGTTTCACCACTGTTAGCATCAGGACAAGCATGTCAATTTCTCACAGCCACTGCTGGGGCTCTGGGGCAGCTTCATCATGTGGCCTGCCCTGGACTGGGGACCCCCGGGCTTCCAGACTCCTTGGCCATCTGGTGGCCTAAATTGGCAAATATTCGGTCTCAGTCCAGGACATTCTGCAAGGCAGGGCTGCCCCAGAACCACAGACCTTGGGACACCAGAACCCATCCCAGGACTTCCAGGATCCCCGATGCAGACCCTGGAGCTGAGCCTTGGTTAGAGCTGGGGCTCCCAGGGCTTTCAGGTTCCTATCCCATGGCAGAGAGCCTGAAAGCATTGGCAGGGCTACCCTGGAGGTGCAGACCCTAGAAAGACCAGGATCTCCAATTCTGGGGCAATCTGTATGGTGGGTCTGCCCAGAGCTGGAAGACTGGGGTATCCAGCCCCGGGACAATCTACATGGCAGGACTAACAGGAGCCACCAGGGAACCTGGCAGGGAACCTGGCAGGGAACCATGGACATTTTCACCAGACCCTGCTTGCGGTTTCGAGAAAGTTCGTTGAACCCAATTCACTTTCATGATAAACGTTGAGTTCAACAAACTGGCATTTTCCAGTGAAACTCTGGTTTGCCAGATAATTTCCAACCAGCTGTAGTAGGGAGGCGATTTTTCCTCTATGTACAGCACTGGGGAGACAGATAGTGTATCTGCTTTTAGTGTCCACATTGTAAGAAAGATGTTAAAAAATTGGAAAGGGCGCAGAGAAGATCTACAATAATGATTTCAGGGCTTGAAAATGTGCCCTGCAGTGAGAGATTTAAGGACGTTAATCTGTTTAGTTTATCAAAAAGATGACCTAGACATGTCTTGATTGCAGTGTATAAGTACCTTCCCATGGACAAAACACTGCATATTAAAGGCCTTTTTAATCTAGTGGAGAAAGGCATAACAAGAATCAATGGATGGAAGTTAAAGCCAGATAAATTCCTATTAGAGGTAAGGCATACATTTTTCACAGTAATACTGATGATACATTGGAACAAACTACCAAGGGAAGCAGAAGCTTCTCCACCTCCTGAAGTATTCACAACAAAATTGGATATATGCTTTAGCCAAACAAAAGGTTAGATGAAGTACAGGAGTAATTCCTTTAAATTCTATAGCCTTTATTAACCAGGAGTTCAGACTAGATCTAAAGCACCCTGCTGGCCCTAAAATCTATACAGCTATGAATCAAAAAGAAAGTTAAAGTTTGCAAAGTGAAGCACTCAAACATTCAGAATGTCAGAATTCTTGTGAAACCTTCATTAGTCCCATCTACTTTTGCTTCCCCTACTAATTCTTCTATGCTTGCAGGTTCATTGTCCAGAACATGAACCTGGCAAAAACATGGTTGTTGTTGCAAAAACACAAACACTAATGAGAAGTGCTAGGCACTGGCACGTGCATGAACACATTCCAGAAGGGTAATACCAGACCACCTTGATATAGGGCATGATGTAAACACACTCCCCAATGATGATACAGGGACACACTAACCCCTCCTAAAGATAAGGTCATGATGACAGGGGGCTGGATAGAGATGTTTTAATCCAACCAAAATGTACAAGGGAAAGGGTGATAATTAACCACGTCAGAGGGGCAAGACGTAACTTGTTTGTATCAGAGTATAAAAGACAGGTCACAGAGGGGGTGTCTTTTTCTGTCCTCGGCGGGTGGGGGCGTGGAAAGTCTCGCCACTCACTGAGCCAAGTCCATTGTAAGGGGCATAGATGTGCCAGTGTAACTGTAGACATTGATCTGGGGAGCTGGTACTGCATTTTGTCAGCAATAAATCTGGCCAAGCGCCTTTGCCACTGAACCCCATCTGTAGACTTCTTGGGCAGTTTGATCGAGACCTGCTGCATCAGCTACCTCCGCAGAGCTGGTGCAACACACAGAGAGAAAACACACACAGCCAACAGCTGACAACACCTGGGAGGCTGGGAAGTGTTATTATCTCCATTTTACACAGAGAGAACCAGAGACGCTATGGCAAAAATTATCAAAAGCATCCACTGATTTTGGGTGCCCAACTTGAGATACTCACGTCCTTTTTGTTCAGAGTACTCAATCTAGTATGTGTTTTCAACTCCTGTCTATATTATGTGGCTATGT